ACGCCAACGTACTGTAATATATATTTATTTTTAAAATAATATAAATAATATAATAATATAAATAAGTTAAATAATATAAATAAAATAAGCATAAAATAAAATTAATTTTATTTTATGCTTATTTATTTTATTTATATTAATAAATATAAATTTATATTTAACTTTGATAGACAAAGTTAGATGTAAGAATATCTTTACACAGTAAATTATTTAATGAAACTGATGTGTTTCTGCTTGTTTAACAAGTTGTCATCAGGATTCATTGTGACGTTTATAATATAATATAGGATAACCAAAATTAAGTATCAAATAACATTTGATGTTTACAATTCATAAACTTTTTATAACACATTGGCACCTAATAATGAATTTATAACTGTTATTAATTCTAAATTGGTAGCTCCTTACAATAAACAATGATCTCAAGAAATTTTGTAATAAAACTACAATATTCAATAAAATACTCATAATTTATATAATTATGGTAATAACTGGAAGTTATTTATAGTTTAAATTTATCACTGAGAAAATTTGAACTAATTTCCATTGTTTTTCTAAAATATATAGTTTCTTAACTTTAGATACAATTTCTTAAAAGTTAATACTTTATATAATTCAAAACTTGTAAAGTATTTTTCATGCTAAATTGTGTCTATTTTCTATTGTTAAAAATGACAATAATAGTTAATATTTTTCATGCTCTATATTTTTATTGTGCTCTGTTTACTAAACTTGTATGAAGTGATTAGTTTGAACCTATATTTATCATAACAGAAATTGAATAAATTGTATACTTAAAATTTATAAATATATTATTTCTTTGCAAGCCCATTTATCTCTATCAATGGACAATAGTCATTACAAAATTATGGAAAATATTTTATTTCTTTTGGTATCAGCTCCTAATAATTTAACTATTTTGAATGTAAGTAGCATTAAATTACATATAATTTGAAAATTTCTGATATTTTTCTTTGTTGGAGGATTATTATTGTTTTTTTTTATAGACTAGACCAACGGTGGGCAACCTCCGGCCCGCGGGCCAGCTACGGCCCGCGAAAAGTTTCTATCCGGCCCGCGAGATGTTTAGAAGAAATTATAAATAAATATTTTTCGATGTAATTCGTCTAGTTTAAATTGAATATTATTTTCTGAAGTGTTGCGGCAGCAATGACAGGAAAAAATAAGGGAGTCATTTCCTTATTCAAACAAAAAATGGGAGAACAGAATTTTTCTAAATTATTTATATCTCATCGCATCATCCATCAAGAAAATCTATGTGCAAAAGCTATGCAATTAGAAAATGTAATGTCTGTCGTATCCAACTACATAGTGCTGTTTTTATTGTGTTTAAAGTCACTTAGATTTTACAAATAGGTGAGCCGTTCACAGCCCGGCACACGCATTTGTAAAATCTAAGTGACTCATACAACATGGAATTCATATAAAACGGAATAATCAACAGTGTTATAGGGGGGGTCGACTGTAGTAATTAATTTCTTTTTATTTATTTATTTCATATTTGCAGACTAAAAATTTACAGGTCACAAGGTGTCAATTAACTACTATGGCCCACGGAAAAAACGTAAAATTTATTCTGGCCCATGTTATAAAAAAGGTTGCCCACCCTTGGACTAGACTATTGATAAACATTATTGGACTAATTGCTATTCTTTGATTAATAACAAATTTTATGAAAATCTAATTATGAACCTATTGACAAACCAACTGTGCTTTATTTAAAGTAAATAAATAAATAGATATTAAATTAAAGTGACCAGATGTATTGCTACTGGCAGTTCAATACTGTGTTGACATAATTAGTACTACCAGATTTATTTCTGTACTACTTGCTTAATATTGTACTTTCTTTGTGATTTTTTTAATCAAAAAGCAGTACTGTAATAAATAAATTTTCTTATTTCTATAAGGCATAGATGTAATTTTAAAAATTAACTTCCATAACATGAAAAGAAATCAGTGTAACTATAGATGATAAACATTAGTTAACTTCATCAACAGCTATGTTATTATTCAGAACAAAAATTAAGAAAATGGAAATATAAATGCACATATTGGAAATAAACAAGTACAGTACAATACTTGAATGAAGTACAAATTTTTTTGATACATTTCAAGATACTTACTGATGTCACATTTTTATGAAAAAATTCAACTGTTGAAACAATTTATTCAATAATAAATAATTTTTGGAGTTGTGAAAAACCAGATTGACTATTAAAACAGACAGTTAAAACAAATCTTAAATAATGTATTTAAAAATTCTTTACAGGTGGAAAGTCAACATAGCAAACTTATGAAGAGAATTCATTCAAATGAAAATTATGTATCTAAATAAATTAAAGATATATTCAGAAGTTAAATAATTCAATTAGCTTATTTTATTTTTGTTAATAATGCTAAAGATAGTGTACTGCTTTTACTTTTTGAAAATCTGGGTCACTTTAAATATTTATTAACTGTTTTTTTGACATTGACATCACACACTACTTTTATTTTGTAAAGTTAGCTTGATGTTAAGTAGGGAACTTGGAATATAAATAAGCATTTTGTTTATTTTCCTTAAATAAATAAATGATCCATAAAGATGGATGATAAAATAAAAAATTAAAATGTTATTTTTTTTATTTACACTACATTTTTTATGAAAATATTTTATATTAGTAAAAATGACAGTTTATATTAGTAGTTGTTTATTCACTAAAATCATTCAATGTAAAAATGAACATTTTCTACTATTTGCAAGTTGCAAATAGTAAAAAATTTGAATTACTTTTAATCATTGGATTTTTGGTGTTCTTGATGTTACTTTCATATAAGCTTATCCAATTTCTCTTATACTTACATGGTTATGAAAATATGATTTTAGTGAATAAACAACTACTAATATAAATTACTGTTATTTTTACTAATATAAAGTATTAAACCTGAAGATGACTGTTGAAAATAGTAGAAAACATTGGTTTTACATTAAATTACTTTGTCATGCTGAATTTTTGGTGTTCTTGATATTAAAATCATATTTTGTTTAGAAATATGAAAAATTAATATAAAGTGCATATTTTCTTAATTGTTTTATATAACTTTTTACATAATTCTTGAATAATAATTTAAAAGTTTATATAAACTAATTTTATTACTATTTTTAAAATACTATATATTTTTAATTTTATTTAATTAAAATGAAATCCAAAATATTTTAAGAAAAGAAAAATCTTATTAACCAGAGTAAAATAATACAGTGAGAAATTAAAGATAATAAAAACTAGCCTTCCAGACTTTTGCGATAAATGCATTATGAGAGAGCCTGACTTGCAATAATATTAGCTATTAATGAAGCAATATCTCAAAACACTCAAAAAACTAAAAGAATCTGGATTATATTTTAACTTGAACTGCAGAGAATAAATAAAGCAAATTTCCATTTATCCTGTCTTAAAATTGTAGTGAAATATTGAATTAATGAAACGAAAATACAATTATTTGTTTCATTATATCTAAAAATGCAATGAAAAAGTGAAATCCTAAATAAAAGTACTTTATCTTTTGAGTTTGGTCTGCATTTATGTAATTATTGTAAAATTGTATTCTTACTTATTAATATAATTAAGGTAAATATTAATATTTAAATAATAATTCTTTTTGTACTTACGGTTGGTTTTTTATAACATCCTGCAGAATATCATTGTAGTAACCAGTCAGTTTATGATCAGCTTGACTTGATGCTATTCTCCAGCATCCCAAAGTTATCAAATAAAAAATCAACATTTTGGCTCTGAAAAACAGGTTTAATTTTTTTAATTATAGTTTGTTATTTCAATATATGTAATTCAGTTTTTGATTTTACTATTGAATAACTATAATAATTCCAATATCCATCTAAAAAATTACAGATGAATAACAAAGCATCCTTGTTTAATATTAAAATTAAAATTAATAAATACATCAATTTTATAAAATTATAGTAGACAATTGGTAAATAAATGATCCTTTATAAAGCAAATAGTTCAAGCAATAATAATTCAATATTTTTTTCAAATTATTAATTTTCTGTGAAAGTGGCTTTGATAAATAAAATTATATTCATTCAATATGTTATTTAATTTTGAACTTCAAAAAACAAACACAAATTCCTATCATTCTTTTTAATGTGATAAATAAATCATTAGTGATTCCTGTACAGTACATCAGTTTTTCACGTATTGAATAAAAAAATGGATTAAACATTTGGAAAACATGTCACTCTAAATTTGTATGATTGAAATAAATGATTTTATTACATTTAAAACTAATTATATTATTCTACTTCTCCCCAAATGCCTAATTGTAAAAATGGAAGTTTAATTTATCAATATATTCCTGTATGTTAAAATTTTCCCCTGCTGTTACATTAGGTGACAGAGGACGTCTAATTTTTGTTGTTGTATGTTAATTTTTTTCACTTGGGAAGAAAAAAATGTAGAGGAGACTGGGCTAGTTATCACAGTTTTTAGTCATTTCTAGTTTTAGGGTCTCTAATATCAATTTATTTAGATTTAAGTGAAAATGTATACATCTACATATCTTTTGATTTGGTTTATAATAAATATATGAACATTCAATAATTTTTTCTCATAATTATTAATTTTTTTATAAAACTGTGTCATCCTGTGACAACATACCCCTACACAGGGTATATTGTCACAAGGTAAGGGGTATGTTGTCACAGGTAGCCTAAGTCTCACATTTCCTGAGTTTATTATAGTAAAGTAAATATTAAAACAATGGGTGATGATCTGTGACAGCTTGGAAGAAAGTCTTGATCGGTAAAAATATCTCTGTTAAAAGGATAAATTCCAGACACCTGAAATCCAGATATTATATTATTTGGCACAACTGCTAATGGAAGTGCTAAAGAGACAATACCAGGAATGTCATAGATGGTGATAGTTTTCCCTGGATTAGTCTTCATCCATGAAGCATATGCAGAGTTGATAAATTTTTTTAAGGGGCCAAAAACACTCCGGTCTAGAGGCTGGAGCTTGTGGCTGCAGTGTGGGGGAAAAGATAAAATAACGACACTATTGTCTTTTGAGAAATTTAATCCGGGAATTGAGACGTGAGACTCGTGGTTATCAAGCAATAACAGTATAGTCCTTTCTTTTGTACATTTAGTAGTTTCAATGAGAAGCTTCAAAAATATTAGAAATTGCTCCTCTTTCATCCAGTTGGATGGGTTTGCTGTTCCAATAGGACCTGGAGGAGAATTTTGCAGAAAGTGGTCTCTAAAGTGTACTCAAGGAAACACAAATAATGGCAGAATGCTGTTTCCAGAAGCAGATACTGCAAGAGCCATAGTTACTAGTTTGCTAGAGCCCTTTCAGCTGGGGTGATAGAACCAATTTGACGAAATCCTTTTCTAGCATCAACACGATCAGGACATTGCACTGTAGTTATTCCAGTTTCATCCACATTGTAAATGTCATTGGGGCGGAAATGGTAACGCTTAAATAAATTCCTAAATTTGTGAAAAAGGCATCCACATTTGTCTTATTGAAACTTGTGGCTCTAGACCAGTGTTTCTCAACCTCTAATGAATCGTCGCCCCCTTCAATAAAACCGTTACGCAGTATCTTCCCCTTCAATTCAAAAAAAATTTTGTTGGGTTTATTAGTTTATTTGATAATTATATACTTTGTAAAAAAATTAAACATGTATTTACTCAGAATACTTAGAAGATTTTAATATAATTAACAAAATTAAAAAACATAAGTGTTAACAAATATAAAAAAATATAACACTTTTTATTGAATATAAAATGTTTAAGTATACAGAAAAAATATTGTTAGTGCAAACCTTGAGGCTGATGAAATTAAGCCAATTTGTTCATCTTTGGTTCGAAATTTGTCAAAAGTAATCGCAAATCACCTTTTTGTGTTAATTGTAACCGATTTCTTTGTTTGGACAATAACTGTACAATAGCACTAAATCCTTTTTCTACAAGATAAGAAGTTGGAAATGCCATAATTAATAAATTGATCTCATTCCAAAGCATTTTATATCTGTGTCTATTATTTACCCAAAAACATTCAATATTATCCTGTGTATACAAAATCTTTGCTTCAACATCATTTTGCAAATCAATCATAATTTCTT